AGATATAGATATAGATATAGATATAGATATAGATATAGATATAGATATAGATATATATATATATATATATATATATATATATATATATATATCACTCACACACACACACACACACACACACACACACACACACACACACGGGTATGTAAATACAATAGGTCAGAACTCAATTCAGGCAGAATTCCCATTGGAATAGAAGTGCACACAACTGGCTAGACTCTGACCTCATTTATATCTGTGCATCACCAATACTGCATACTAAAACTCATTGGCATTTTTGCTGCAAGATTTTTCCTGTACACATTAATCCCCAGCTTTTCTAAATTAAACATTTACATCTCTCTGAAAATAGAGTTAATAACAATGAGCAACTGGTAACATGCATCCAAAATGGAAGAGGCACGGTACAAGCTTTCTGGGTAATAAAGGAGGCTGTGGTCTGGAGACATAGCAGAGCTGCATTAAACAGTGTCATCCAGTGCATGCAGATCGCAGGCAATGAATATGTACGTTAAGTGAAGTGTAAGGATAATTTTCTTTGTTTTTTTACAAGTAAGATGAAATTTCTCTGCAGAGATTATGAAAGACACTTGTGATGAAATAGCTAGCCAAGAATAAAATCAGAAATCAGATAGGAAGTCTTGACATGTTTAATGTGATGTTCATATGTGAAATATTCTCAATAAAAGACAAAAGCCTTCTGGCTTTGTTTCATTCCATAACGAAAACTCAGACCAGGTGCTTCAAAATGTTTGTGAAGGTCCTTGTTAAGAGTCACAGACACTGAGATGTGATTTGGTATGGAAGTTATGTGAAATGCTTAGTTTCAGTATGAAACCAGCTGAAACTCTGTGACCTTGAGTAAAAGTATAAATCTATTTGAATTAGTTAAATCATGCTTGAAAACACAGTTCTCTCACAAACTGAACAACTTATAGGCAATTACTTATGGTACAAACAGCAGTATGTCACGTAGCATAAAGGTTTGTATTTTCTTGCACTAAAAAGAAAACAAAATCACACTTTCTGCTGTTTGGAAAAATGCTCCTGTGGAGCATCTTTGTCCAGCTTTTAAAAGGCATTAATATACTTCTGAATCCTGTTAAGCCCTTAGTCAGTCAGCATTTTTGGAAAGTTAAGAAGACATGGGGGGAGGGTGACAAAGCAAGGAGGCGGCCAAAGGGGTGTGGCCAGAATGGTGGGGGTTGGGTGGATGGTTGCAGTCAGTCACCAGTGGGTGGATCAGTGAGGCTGCAGCAGGCAGAACAGGGAAGTTTGGCAGTGTGTGGAGGGGAAGGCAGTGGAAAGAGCAGGAGCAGCTGGGCAAAGGCAGGGTAGCCACAGGGTAGCCACAGGCATAGTAGGGGGATGTTGTAGGCTAGCTGTGGAGAGAAGCAGAAGTAGGCAGGGAGCTGGGTTATGGTAACTGAGTACGAAGAATGCCACCTGCAACATGATGCAGCGTCAGCCAGTTGGCAGGGCTTCTGAGGAGAAGCTCAAACGGAGTGCTTCTGGCTACTGTGCCAGCTGGCGGAGTTGCCAAGGAAGGAGAAGCAGACAGTGTGAGGGTGGGGAAGAAGCTAAAACCCAGTCAGCCAGCCAGGCAGGAGTGGCTGGCTTTGGCAGATGACAATGTTTCAGCAGTCCAGAAGCACTGAAACCCTGTCAGCTAAAAATGGCTCTGGCATGCCACAATAGTGGTGCATTATACTGGAGGAGAATGACAATGGGCTCTGGCCCAGCATCTGCCTGTGGACCCAACTGCAGGACAATCACTTGAGTCCAGAGTCTATTAGTATTTATCGACGCCATTTTACAAAGCCTCAGTTGCCTATATACGCCCGCATGCCTTGATTATGAAATCAGTCTAATATCTTTATACCACATTCATCATAATTATATAAGAATCAAAATTGGCCCACAAGTTTTCAAGGCCAGTGTAAAAGAGACTCAAATTATAAACGTGTTTGTATGTTATTTTTCTCTCCTACCCATAACTGAAAGCATTGCACAAGCCAAAAGCTATCACAGCATGATGAAGTTAATGGTATCCACAATTGTTTGAGTCTGTCTTAGGCTATGGCTAGACTGCGTTGCTTTTCTGGGATACCGTTTTTCTGAATTTTTTTTTTCAAAAAAGCAGCTGCACTCTTTTCCCATCCCAGTAAACCTTGTTCTATGAGGAATAAGGGATGTGTCAAAAGAACACTTTTTTCAAAAATTTGGCACATCTACACAGGGCCAAATTTCGGAAAAGCCTCTTTTAAAAGTAAAATGGGAACAGATATGCAATTTGCATACTGCAAATTGTATTTCTTTTTCTGACTTAACATTGCAATGTAGACCTAGCTCTATGAAAATCACAACTAACACTGAATGACAATTTACACTGAGTCTAATCTCTATGCAGCCTTATGGCAGTCCCATGAAAACAGAAAACAAAATATTTGTACCTGCTTTGTAAATCATTAAGGTGCAATCTGCCAACATAATGGGTGGCTGACGAGACGGTGATGACTCTAGCATTGTGACTGTGTGTTCCTGATTGCTTCAATGTTTCCAAGAGAAGGTTAGTCAATAGGAAATGTCCCAAGTAGTTCAAACCAAAGTGCTCCTCAAATCCATCCTCTGTTTTTCTTTCAGGAACCAGCATCACCCCCGCTAAGGAAGAAAGTATACGAAAGTGAGATGACTTCAGAGACCAATGAGGATTCCTGACACAAAAGCAACACAAGACTCCTACTCATCTTACACACGGCTTTTAGCATGTCAGATGATAGGTGATCGCATGTGAACTCTCTAAAACTGATGCTGACTGACCCCCCTGGAGAAATGACAAACTCTACCTCAATTTACCTAACTAGATAATGGGTGGCATCATCCCTCCCTTCCTCCAGCATTGTGAGTTAACTTTGTAAGGAGTTTTGAAAATGTTGGGATCAATTTAATCTTTGGGGTTGCACCAGCTCTCAACACCGTGGACAGTTGACAGTGACAAGTCCATCTGGAGTGCGAATTCAGAAATTCAAAATGTTGCCTGCCATCCTACAAGTGGGTAGGTCAAGGCTAATCTGAAGATGAACTCTTCCAAGGAACTTTTCCAATGAAACCTGGCTGGAGTTTAAAAAGCTACCTCCCCGAGAGGCAAACCCCATTCCCACAGCTATCTTCTTGTGGGGGGAGTGGGAGCAGAAATAAATCTACCTGGTAAGTTCAATAAAAGAGTATAGTTTTATTAGGACACATTAAGGCAATACATACTGTATATATCTACATATACAATTTTAAACTTGAGTGTCTGAAGTAAGGTTGCCAGATGGTTGAAACAAAAATACCGAACACTGCCCCCCCCCCCCGCAAAAAAAAACACCTGAAAAAAATTCTATTGAAGGGGAAAAAAGGGGGGAGGGAGGAGAGATCAAAGTTGTTGAGAAAAAAAAAAGACCCCAAGACTTATTAAGTTAAAAAAAATTAAAATAAAGCAGCATTAAAACAGCATGTTCCCTTTAAGAGTGAGTGAAACAGGAGTGGTTGAGCACTGCTTCCCCTTGGCTGGCAGCCATTTTGTGCCGGCAGCCTTGCAGAACCAGGTAAGCATGGGGGCTGGGGTTTGGGGGTGTTGGGGGTCAGGGGAGATTCGGGGGGGGGGAGGCCAGGTGCTGAATGTTTGTAGGGTTGCCAGGTGTCCGGCATTTTCGCCTCCTGGCCAGGTAAAAAAACCAGAAAATACCGGACATTTTAGGTATTCTCTGAATTTTTTTTACTGGACAGGAGGCGAAAATACCAGACTGTCCGGGTGAATACCAGACACCTCCTGCAATCCTAGTCTGAAGTTAGGCTCCTAAATCCATAGCTAGGCCCCTATGTAAATATTGTCTAAATTTCAAGCAGCTGCAGCTTTTACTTAATTTCTCTGGGAACTGAGGCTGTTCAACACATCAAAAAAATCAACTCAGATTTTCTATATAGGTTTCTAGCTATGGGTTTAAGAGCATAATTTGAAGCCCCCAGCTTTGAAAATGCTACCTGTATCGGGGTGACCTGACCGGGATATGGATAAAAACAAAGGGAAAAAAAGGAATTCAAAATGTATCAGATAATTTTTTTAAATTAGTACACAACTGGATTTTACTATTGAGAGAATCAGAGATGAATGTAGTTCATGTGATTAACAATTCTGAACGTGCTCTGTCTTTTCTCTGAAACACTAAGTACCATTTGAAGGGAAGGTTAACTGTGCTCTCTGACATGAAAGAATATCAGCTTCTTCTCAATGATACTTCACATTTCCACTGGAAAATGCTTTAACAGTCCATTATTAAGTGTCAAACTGATGATGGCATACAAACCTCCCAATCTCACTTGCTCCTACTGGGCTTTTATATAACTGCTTCCTTTTTGGGGTCCAATTGCCAAACAATGTCATTATGCTATGGCGTGCTAGGAAGGAAAGGAGTACTTTTTTTTGGTAAGTAATCCTGTAGCAATTTTTTCTAATGCATATGCAATTCTTACTCCTTAATGGGCCTATATGCTGAAAAATAGGTGGCTGTGTGAGAAAGTAGAGTGGAATGGGGCATGAGCATTCTGTAAGAGGAGAGATAATGCTTGTAACATTTCTATGTACCAGGCTTTGCCATCCCAAACTGCCTGCTGTAGGCATTCTGGGGGCACAGTGTTGCTACTCCAGTGCACACCCACCCTGTGCTCCTAGCCGGGGAGGCTGGAGTCTCCCTTGCTGGTGGTTTGAGGGCTGGGGAGGCAGGAGCCTTGCACCCTCCTCCTTCCCTGGTGCTCCAGGACCAGGGAGGCTGGGGCACAGGCACCACCCCCTCCTGTCTCTTCCCCTCTACCCCAGGGTGGGGGCAGGGCCTCAGCAGAAGGGGTGAGCTACAGGTGGGGCTGGGGACAGCTCCCAACTTAAACTGCTCCAGCACATCATTAACAATCTACAACCTATCCTGGAAAATGACCTCTTACTCTCACAGGCCTTGAGGGAAAAGGCCAATCCTTGCCTACAGACAGCCCCCTAACCTGAAACAAATTCTTTCCAGTGACCATGCAGCACAGCCCCATCATATTCACCCAGGAACCCATCCCCGCAATGAACTTCATTGCCAACTCTGTCCACATATCTATACAAGTGACAGCATCACAGGATGTAACCACATAAGCCAACACATCAGAGGCTCATATAACTGCACATTCTCTAATGTGATATACGCCATCAAGTGCTAGCAATGCCCCTCTACCATGTGTATTGGCCAAACTGGACATTCTCTATGACAAAGGATTATCAGACACAAATCAGATATTCAAAATGGTAATGCAGAAAAACCTTTTTGGGGAATATTTTAACTTGCCGGACATTCACTAATGGATCTAAAAGCGGCCATTCTCTTTCAGAATTACAGGATCCAACTCAAGAGAGAAACTGTGGAACTGCTTTTCATCTTCATAAGCAAACGGTACATTTAGCACACATTTAGTCAGGGACTGAACAAAGACATTTTGTTGGATGGGCTGTTATATTCAACACCCAAATGACATCAAAAGCTAAGTATTGAGCACTTACAGCCCACTGTATTAGCCTCATTTAGCATGGACACTAAGGGTGTGTCTAGACTACAGGGTTTTGTCGACAAAAGTGGACTTTTGTCAACAAAACTATACCTGCGTCCACACTACCGCTGAGGTCTGTCGACATAATATCGACAGAACTCAGCAGTTTTGTTGACGCTGGTAAACCTCATTTTACGAGGCATAACGCCTTCTGTCGATAGAGTTTCTGTCGACAGAAGGTCTTACTGCATGTAAACTGTCATTTGCGTCTACACTACCATGTCGACAAAGCAGCTTGCTTTGTCGACAGAACTCAATGTAGTCTAGATGCTCTTTGTTGACAGAAGTTTTGTCGACAGTATCTGTCGACAAAACTTCTGTCGACAGAAGCCTGTAGTCTAGATGTACCCTAATTGACAGTTTTTTTTCCTTCTCCTCTTCTCCCCTCTTTTTCTGCTTTATATTTGTCCCTCTGTGCCTCTTGCTCCACATTTGTCACATTTGTCATCTGAAGAAGTGAGTTGTTCCCACGAAAGCTCATGATTACTATCTATAATTTTTGTTAGTCTCTAGGGGTATGTCTACACTACCCCCTAGTTCGAAGTGTGGGGGGGGGGTAATGTAGTCATACGGAGGCGTACAGCTAGTTTGGATAGGAAGCCTAATCCGAACTAGCTAGTTCGTGCCGCGTGTAGCCGCGCGGCATGCAGTCCGAACTAGCCGGCATTTAAAAATGGCACCGGCCGGCTTCATGCAAATGAAGCCCGGGAAATTCAAATCCCAGGCTTCATTTGCAACTCCGTATGACTACATTACCCCCCCCTAGTTCGAACTAGGGGGGTAGTGTAGACATACCCTAAGGTGCTACAGGACCACTCGTTTTTTAAACTTTTTAAAAAATATTTTCTCTATTCTCCTAAAGACAGTCATCTTTCAAGAGATTCACATCCAGGCCAGAGAAAACCCTTCCTGCAGTTTCAGGAAGTGCAGTTTTAATGTGCATAACTATAGGAAAACAGAGCATAAGCACAGCAAACAACTGAACCTACTTGGTTGTCTGACCGCAGGGTAATCCTCACAAAGCATAGCAAGCTCACTTTTTTAAATTATTAACTACCTAACATTCAGTAGTTACTAAAAGCGGCACACTATTGATTTTCTTTTGCCCAGACACATCATCAGCTTTACTCATGGGCACTGAAGGGGTGAACTAAAAGAACAAAAGCCATTTCTATTTTTCACCCTTCAATAGCTGAGAGACTATTTGATACCAAGAACATGCAGCATTTCCATTTTGTAGCCTCACTGCAAACTACCTGGAGCAAGAGAGGGATATTAGTATTCTTCTGATAGGGAAGCCATATAACAATACCTTTCAGACTTGTTTCATTCTAAATTGCCTTGGGATTAGAAATTCTCCCCAGTGTTTTTAGAGTGGCTTTGAAAGTGGATTTAAAGAAGAAATGGCAGCATATTGACCATTAACATTCAGTCTCTGTTTTAACTGTCTACTGTGTTATTCTTTCTTATTCGGCTGGATTGACTCCAACAATCTTTGTTTAAGCAGGCATTACCAATGGAAATATGACATTAGAAAATGAATTAATAAGTAAGCTGCTAATAGGGCTCTTGCTTTGCGATTGGTTAACTATTATTACTGAAGTAGCCAAGCAAAAGGCTGACAGCATACATACTGAGAACTGCATAAAATGCCATGATGTCATGGGATTCTGCACAATATAATATACTGTACTTCATTAACTGCCCTGACCATTCTTGTACAGATACCTATTGTGATGGATTTAATCATAGGGGCCCCCTAGGGGCTACCAGGCAGTGTGCTGCTCATGCTACTGAGTCCACCTATCTGCCTTCTGGAGTGCCCCACCACCCTGTCCTGCTGAGCCAAAAGCTCTGGTCTCCCTCAGCCAAGGCACGGAGTTGGGGTAACAGCTTCCTTCTTCCCCAGCACAGTCACACAGATGTTGAACCAGCTCAGTTCTAGCAGGTCTCAGCTATAAGGCCTTTGATAACAGACAGGAACACAGCCCCAAAGAGGACCAAATCCCCAAATTAATCCATCTAACCCTGTGTAAAAG